ATGAAGATGTTATTGAAAAAGAACCCCGATCTCACTAAACAGCTCTCTCAAATCAATCCCTCTTTACCTTATATGTATGGATTGATCAAAACACACAAGCTTAATAATCCATTACGTCCTATCGTGAGTTCTGTGGGTTCTGTTACTTACAAATTATCCAAGTGGCTGGTAAGATGATATCCCCTCTTACAGGCCAAATATCTAATTCACATATACGCAATAGCAGTGATTTAATTGATAAACTCAAGAAACACAACGAACCTTGCGAATTAATAAGTTTTGATGTAAATTCACTGTTCACTAGAGTACCTGTGAAAGATTTACTTTCATTTCTTAAAGATAAATTACAACTGCTAGATTTAACTATTGAACATGATACTTTCCTGAAATTGATAGAGTTATGCGTAACTGACAATGTGTTTAGTGCAAATGGGAAGTTCTACAAGCAAGTATTTGGCATGAGCATGGGTAATTGTCTTTCTGCTCCTCTAGCCTGTATTTATATGGAGTTCTTTGAGTCTAGATTACTCCCCAATGTAGTGGACTGTATTCCTCCTTGGTATAGATATGTAGATGATGTTCTTTGTCTTTGGCCTAAAAACAGTGACCCTTTGGAATTTTTAGACAAGCTTAATAATATTGTCCTTAGTATCACATTCAAAATTGAAAGAGAAATAAGTGAATCCCTTCCATTTCTTGATATGCTTATCATGAGAAATGGCCAAAACTATAAATTTAAGGTATATAGAAAGCCCACACAGGTAGACAGTTTCATTCACTTTTTATCCAATCACCTTGAGTCTACCAAAATGTCAGTTTTTTCTGCTATGTTCCTACGATGTCTGCGTATTTGTGACTCTGAATTTATTGACGACGAACTTAAACACATTCGTTCTATTGCACAGAAACTTGGGTACCCTTCTGTGTTTGTTGATCGTTGCTTTAAAAGGGCTAAAAAATCCTTTCATTCCTCTGTAACCAGACAAGTTCCTACACTTAAGAATATTTTGACTCTGCCCTATCGTGATGAATTTGTCCCTTTAGTTCGGTCCCTCAAGCTTCTAAATATTAATGTTGTTTTTAAGTATGACTCAACCATTACCAATATGTTAATAAGGAATAGCCCAAGTTTGAATGTAAATGGAAGTGTTTATTGTATTCCATGTAGCCAATGTAATTGTAATGATGTAGGTCAGACAGGAAAAACACTGCAGCTCAGAATCAAACAACATAAGTATAATATCAGAACTGCATCTGAAAGCAGTGCCTTGTTCGTTCATGTTAGGAATAATAATCACCCCATTGCTTGGGAAAAAAGCTTAGAAGTATTCAAATCATCTTGTGTCACAGAAAGACTTCTGGTTGAAGCTAGTTTGATTAAGGAATTAAAATCAATAAACCTTAGTGATGGTCAGTTCAAAACTGATAATATGTTACATAAATTTATTTGTCAGTGGCTCAAGGTTAAAACTGCTTTGAAAACCTTTGATCTTGATGTATGACAGTTATTTTGTGGGTCCCTTTTTTCTGACCTGACCTGTCTAGTCACGTCACCACCCTTCTCTTAAGCTCCTCTACGGTTGTGTTGGTGTGGGGATTAGTGGATGTCATCATTATGACCTGACCTCATGTTTTTAGGTCACCCTGTATATTTAAGCCTCTCTCTGTCCATGTAATCTAGTTGCCTCTGAAGATGTCTTGAATAAAGACGAAAGCTAAGGTACTCCGTTGTTTCCATTTTCCCGTGTGATTTTATCAAGATTTATCTTATCCACGTTTTCATTGTGGATTTACATGAAATATATATATATATATATATATATACTTATATATTTATATATTTATATATTTATATTTATATATATATATATATATATATATATATATATATATATATATATATATATATATATATATATATATATATATATATATATATATATATATATATGAAGTTGAGTTAATAATAATGACTCTGATATTATAGCCATTAGGTCCTGAATAATAAGAGGTGTCTAAGTGAACAAATGTATGATGTCTTCAATTACCAGCGTAGTGTGGGGTAACAGTGGGGGTAGAAGCGAAGGGTAGGAGTGAAGGGTGGGAGTAAGGCGTGGGAGTAAGGGGAGTATGTGGGAGTATATGGGAGTATAAGGGAGCAAGGGTGGGAGTAAGGGTGGGAGTAAGGGTGGGAGTAAGGGGTGGGAGTAAGGGGTGGAGTAAGGGTGGGATTAAGGCAGGAGTAAGGGTGGGGAGTAAGGGGTAGGGAGTAAGGGTGGGAGTATGGGTGGGGAGTATGGGTGGGAGTATGGGTGGAGCAAGGGTATAAGGGTGGGAGGAAGGGTGGAGCAAGGTGGGAGTATGGGTGGAGAAGGGTGAGTAAGGGGTGGGAGTAAGGCGTGGAAGTAAGGGTGGGATTAAGGGGTGGGATTAAGGGGTCGGAGTAAGGGGTAGGAGTAAGGGGTGGGAGTAAGGGGTGGCAGTAAGGGGTGGCAGTAAG